GGGGAGGGGAGGGGAGGGGAGGAAAAACAGGGGAAAGGAGGCGAGAGAAGGAGAGGGGGGGGAAAGAGAGATTTCCTTTGAAAATTGGGCAGATATTTTCCTCCTTTCCTTGCCTTTGTACCTCTACCAAGCTTTCAGACATAACCATAACACAGTTAAAGTGGTTCTAGTTGTTACACGGATGCTTCTCACTTTTTCAGGTTGCCCAGATTTTATAAGGACACCAGGAAAAAAGGCAGGGTTATACTAAGGAGACAGCAGTAAATATACCAGGTGCCACTAACCAGATGTGTGACCTTTAGAAGTCACCTGGCCTCTTGCTATGGTTTATCAACTTGTCTAGCAAATGATAATCATTACAGTTGGTTTCAGCTCAAAAAGTATTCTTAAGCATCTAGCAAGATCACAGTTCAACCCACACTGTTCAGCACACCCTAACACTTTCATGGCTGTGATACCCCCTCTCACTAATCCTATATAATAAAAGCATAGTATGCAAATTGTTCCCTCGACCGGAGTTGTCCGGGAGTTCAACCAGGGGGCAAGGCCAGCCAGGGGAAGGGAGGGAGGCCCTGGCTGCCAGTGGTGGTGGTAGTGGTGGTGGTGGCAATGGTGGCAGGCAACTGGGGGAAGGGAGGGAATACTCGGCTGGCAGCCGGCAGCTGCTAGGGACTCTACCAGTGCATGAAATTCATGCACTGGGCCTCTAGTAATATATATGCCTGTCCTAGTTAAACTTTTCATTACCCAGCATTGTTAGGAAAATTTATTTGGTAATGCAAATGTCATAGTAAATGAAAAGTTAGTACACATGCTGAACATAAGCATGTAAAAACCAAAATTATAAGCATGTAAATTATTACCAAATTTTTACTAAAAGCAATTTAATCAGTTTTGGTGACTCAAAGGGCACTTATGGCTTTAGAATATTTGGAGGGCCTCATTAGGAGTTATCACAGTGCAGTGCATATGGGAACTGTCTATTGGTAGAGGATGCTGAATTCTCTGTTTTTAACATTACCTTGAGCTACTTTCAATTAAGCAAACATAGAGATACATTAGAAATCCTTGCACACATCTTCAAAGGTTATGAAAATTTGAACTAAGCCATTTATTCCAAGGTTCTATCTAATAACAGAATTTTTCATAAAAAACCAACTAATCTGGATCTGAAACATGTCATTTGTAAGCAAAGGTGATATTTAACTACAAAGAGGTGAATTAATTTAGCACAGGATTTGTCAAGATTTTGCCAATGAGAAAGAATGAGAACTAGCTGGAAGGTATAAGATCCAAAGCAAAATCTCCTAGATTTAATTCCTAGATCTGCTATTTGAATTCCTGATTATATGTTTTTATCGTTCTTAATTCCAGAAGTCAAGTCATTATAGCAATGACTTGACTTTGTAGGCATAAGCTTAAATCTCATTCCTGAGTTGGCCTTAAAAATAATCCAGTCCAACTCCTTTATTCAGTGCAAGAATGTCTTGACCAGGCTTGAATGATTTCAATGATAGAAAATATGAGCAATGACCTTAGCAGGCAACTGCTCATTATATTACAGGATAACTCTAATTGTCAGAAAGTCATTTTGAAGTCTGCTTTATACTGACTTCCACCCACTGGACATTAGACCAACAGGCATATACAGAATAAGCCCAGGCCCCAACCCTGGTGTGGCTGATTCTCCAGATTTGCTGATTAAGTATTCATAGGTTCAATCTCCAAGTGAATAAATTAGTTTTTTTCTTTTTTATTGAATTTATTGGGGTGACAATGGTTAATCAAATTACATAGATTTCAGGTGCACAATTTCACAACACACCATCTGTACACTGTATTGTGTGTTCACTACCCCAAGTCAAGTCTCTGTCCATCACCATTTATCCCCCTATACCTTCCTCCACTTCCCTCTACACCTCCCCTCCCACCTTGCGGAAATCACCACACTGTTATCCATATTCATGAGTTTTCTCTCTTTTTTTTTCTTTTGTGCTTACCCCCTCCACCCCCACTCTCTTCTCTATGAGTCTGTCATCAAGAGGATAAATTAGGTTTAAAGAGTGAAAATGTATTTGTTGATTGGAGACCATAGCTGACTATGGGCAAATTCTGGTTTGGGTTCACAAGGAGGCCGAGTAAGATTCCAAGATCACATCAACTAAATCCATCACCATCCTGGAAAAAGAAAAACTG